TTCTCGAAGGGGGTCTCACTGCCCCCTGCTGATCAAGAACTGCCTGTTATCAACCTAATTCCTTGGTTATAAAAAATAGGCAACGCAGACTAATTACGACAATAAAGATCAATTAGGAGGGAACTAGACAAGCTGCCACACATCCCCAATGCCTCATAGCACCGATGACCAACACCGCAGGCAGCAGCCGTCTATGACTAAGATTTGCCTTCAGCCAAAACGAATAAATAACTAAATCACAGATTAATTAAGATCGTGAGAAAATCTTTCAGTGCTGCAGGTTTACGTGGAAGTAGCCTCTATAAATAATTCCTGCTTGACAAATTACAGACTAATGTATTTTGTCTTGCCATGAAACCAGAGGCTGCTAGCACCCCAGCATCAGAACAAAGAAATTGTGGAAATTGTTATTTCGCTTGGCATTTCCGACAAGCATTGGGACAGGTAGTGATTGCTCGGGGAATTAAAAGCGGTTGTTTGTAAAGAAGGTTTCTCCCTATACAGACATTCAGCTTTCTTTAAAAGCAAGCAGAAAAACCTGACTGTTATACAGAAATTTAGCATTAATTATGCATTTTCCTCTCCTTTGTGGCCTGCCTTCATACTAGATGGTGGTAAAAACTATCAACAAAATCGCTTATAGAAGTAGAAGAAAACATGTGTGTGTATGTGTATAAATAAATAATAATAATAATATAGCCAAAGTTCCTCTTAGTTTCTAGTACAAATTCCAGATTCCAGCTGTTGCTTCCATTAGTCATCAAATCCTTTTCAGAGCTCAATGGGAGCAGAGACCTGTTATTCCATGTGTTACATCTCAAAGCTATTGCTGCAGGGTATAAGCAGGCTGGATTTTTATTCATGGTGATACACCAAAAGCTTTGATACAATGAGATTCTACAGGGGAACTATTAATTCCCATTAGATGCTTTCCATTTATTTTTTGTATACAGTGTTACACACTACTAGCTTGTAATATAGGAGGTAGTTTCTCAAATGAAAGAAGTTATCTAAAATTTCTATTTATCACATCGTGCCCCTGAGTAAGGATGTGCTCATGGACAGTTATGACTACGAAAGAGTCAACATATAATAACTTGTTATTCTGTGGTAGTGCAAATCTCAATTTCATACTGCCTCAGTTAAGAGCTCATTACTTATTTAAAGGATAAAATGCATAAAACTATTGCAATAAGGGGACTTGGCAATAGCAAGAACATCAACAATGAAAAACAAAAGTTAGATTAAAAAAAAATCCTTATTTCAGAGCAGCTAACTCCCAGGTTAGCAGTAAAGCTGTAACATAAACACGAATCTAGGATTTTAATCAGGCCATGAAATTCAACTACTGCTCCTACCTTGAAAACTTAATGTTTCATTTCCTGGGAGAAAAGTTATACATGAACACTGCCCAAAATACCCAAAACAACTGCAAATCCACACTGCAGAACAGCCTGTCTCACACCTTTTCTTAGCATTTTTCTAATTACAGACTCCTTTTCAACATCACAAAATGAGTTATGGTCATATGATGAAATATGGTCAGCTAACACTTGCAGAATATATTTTAGATTGTAAAATACCCCTAAACATCTATTAAAATGAAAACACATTTGAAAAAGAACATATGGCTTTGAGATGGACACAGCTTCACTGATACACAATTAACTACAGTACCAGTGTCAGGTACCAGGTAGAAGACATATGCACAGCATGGCAGTTGGAATAAACTGGATAAAGCAATAGATGGAAAATAAAAGTAGAACCATATTTTATATAAAGAAAACCACTTAACACTTCAATGCAATTGCAAATTAAATCCAAACAGGAATCCTTTATAACAAAGGTTTTAAAATAATCTGGTGCCCTCAGGTGGCAGAACTATATATTCCCAGCAAACAATAAATTATGGCAAACAAGGATCACTAACGGGAACCTTGAGCAATTAAGGAGCCATGTTCTGATTTCAGATATTATGTATGTCAAACTGGTATTTAATTTTGATCTAATACTTGTTTATAAGGATACTGCAGATGTACTGAAAAACATATTTTAAAAAATGAAAGGTAAAGGTAACTATAAGAAAAGAGTTTAACAGGTTAAATATTGAAATACTTACAATTCTTTTCTAAATTCTTCCATTTTCTTGCTCTCTAGATTTAGAAGCTCTTTTGATTTATTAAGTTCCTCTTCATTTTTCAAGTTGTTTTGTTTAAGCATGTCCAACTTAAAGAGGGAAGAAAAGAACTTATCACAGTAATGAAAATGTATAGTTCTCAGGTGTAGCACTTGGAAAAGGTATTTAGAAAATGGAGGCCTGAGTTGAACTTTTTCATCTTTACCACTTAATGTAAGTGCCTAATAACATAATCATCATAATGAAACAGTCAAAAGTTACAAGAGAAAACAATGAGCCTTTCTGCTTTAAAGTCCAGCAGAATGAAGAATTAAAAGTCCATTTAAGACCCGCCTACAGTAATTTGATGTATAGATACTGAAATGCTAGGTAAGCAGAGCAACTCCATTTTGAATACTACGCATTGCAATGCTTTTCTTTTCTTAAGAATAATTTAACACTTTTTGCTAAGAGCAGAGATCAGCTATTCCCCCATTTTTATTCTTCTAAGGTAACTGATAAAAAAAGCTCTGCTTCACTATACCTTAACTTCTGAGAAGCAGCGGCTGAATGTTGCACTTACAACAGGAAAATTCATTCCTTAGAAAATTTGCAACAAGATTTCCCCATCTACTGCGTTTGCATCTAACATGTAAATACCGTGAGCTTGTAAATCTCATTTGTTCACATTCAGTGACATGTTATCTTACATAACAGATTATCTCCAGCTACTCCCATTTACAGAATATATAAAAAAAAACACCCAGAAAGTGAAATGCTACTATTAATAACGTCATCACTTTTAATTCTCAAGCCATCAGCTCTCCTTGGAAATCACTAGTGTTCCAGCACAAGCTGTGGCATTTATTTCAGGCCAGCTGTTCACTGCCCATTGCTACAGGGACTGCAGAAGATTAAAGAGCCATCAAAAAGAGGCCACAGAGCGCTTAGGGTCTGCAGAAGAGCAAACTGAATGTTATACCACAAAACTTGGGGCCAAAGAGTACAAAAGGGACCAGTGAGGACATCCTGTCTCTCCCAAACCCAGAAGTATCACAAAGCAAGGGAGGGATTGATGGAAGAACGTCCCCAAGGCAGACCCATCCCTAGAGGAATTGCTGTATTTGTTGGATTGTAAGATTCTTTGGGACAATCATGCCCATGTAGACACTTGGGCAGCACTCAGCTCAGAGTCTCTTACCTTGTCAGAGCACACTTCTCATGTTCTGATTTTCAGGAGAAAAAATAAGTTTCAAAGGAAAAATGAGAACAGCACAGTGTGTGTCAAGGTTATGGTGTAAGCAGCAAGCTGCCCATCATAGGCTAGAATTGCAGCAGCAACTGTTGAGAAGCAGGGATATTTTCAGAGCTCTGCAGCACTTTTTATTGGAGTGCAAGTTGCACCATATCCTTGTGCATATAAGACACACAGAAATCACATATTACCTGACAAATTGTCAGGCCCTTAGCTATTTCTGTGCATAATCCCCACTCCTTATCTTCCCAATCTGCCAAAAATTATTTAAACTAATGAGCTGTTACAGTGCTATGTCTTGCTGTGTACCATAAGAACTCTGCATTGTTTCACACCAGAAAATAACCAAAGGCTATTGCACAGATTTCACATAAAGATCACAGTTGCTTACAAGGTAGATAAAACTTATCATATAAAAGCATTTAAATATGATTACTTCGTTCTGCAGTTTCTCATTAGTTTGTCTAGAGTTCTCCAAAGAGGCCAAAGTTTCAATGTTTTCCTTGTGAAGGGCATCCTTCTCTTTGGTCACCTGCTCCACAATCTGAAAAGCATCTTCTGCCATTTTAGCAGCCTAAATATAAGGGAAAAAACAAGTATTACCAGTAGGTCCCTCAAAAGCAAAAGACAAACCAGAATACTTTATGCAGAACTCCATTGTTTCCCATTTGTTTTCCATTTAAAAAAAGAACTTCTTTTCATTTATGGAATTGTGAATACTTGTATTCTGAAGCTGCATAAAGTATAAAAAAAAATGGACATAAGGTCTAATTCCATGCAAAAATTCAGTCGTAATCTCATGCTTGTGTTACCATTGTGAAAACCCGCATTTTAGTTCCCCAATTTCTAGCTATAACCACTGTGATTACTCTTAGATTTCCAATAGTAGTAGTTCAACAGATATTCACTTCCAACATACTGCTCTGTATTTTCAGAAAATATGGAATTACAGAAAGCTGTAAAAAGTTATTTGAAAGTAAATTTAAGGAGGCGGTAAAGTCAAATATCACATTATTGCAGTGCTGCTCATTTCAATTTATCTTCATGAAACAAAACATTTTCAGTATATGAAAATATTTAGGTAGGCTTAATTCATTTCTATAGACTATCTATAAAATTCAAGTTATAATGTAAGCAATTTCATGAGTTTCAAATGACACAAACTGAAATTCAAAATATTATTTCAGAATTTGTTGGCAGTGAATACAAAACTCTTCTGTGAATAAAAAGAACCCCAGATATACCATAGTCTTTAACAGCCTGAAAGTCTCATAAGCTTAAGTGATTCCCTTGCAACATTCTATGCAATTGCACTTACAGGAGCAATACATCATTTCATATTTTTTGAGTGGCTCAAATTTAACTCAAATTTATAGTAATCATTCTTCCAATTTAACTTCAAATTGCACAAAGAACTAATTTAAAACCATAACTATTCCTACACTAGCTATTAAGCTGCAAAGTACTTCAACAGAAGCTGCTGCTCAGCTTCTCCTACGAGATCAGAGAATTTCCTTTTATTCACAGCTTACTTTGTTTTCTTGCAACATTCAGCGACAACATTGGCTCATATATTTAGATATGATTTTTTTTTAATTGTAGCTCTTAAAGATTCTTTCAGATTCTGTTTCAATTTGAAATAAACAGGATAACATATTGAGATGGAAGATAATTCCAGCCTGTTTCCCTGAGATGACGTGCTGATTGTGCAATGGAGAGCAGATAGGAAACCATGGAGTTAGTGCTCAGTGTTAGTATAACCATACTTGGTTGTTTAACAACATGTTTCAATACCTCAGATTTTTGCGTTACAGTTTGGGCCTGAAGAGTCTCAATTTCTTTTAGTTTCAAAGCCATATTATTCATCTCCTCCAGCAGTGTCTGATTTTTGTCCTGGGAGACCAGTAATTTGCTGGAAATGTCACTATTAGTTTGCGCTAAAATTGCTATTTCCTCGTGCAATTTATAATAATCCTCAGAGAATTTCTCCTTCTCTTTTAGTATTTCTTCCTTAATGATGACCAGAGACTTCTGTTCAGCAAGCAGACTCTCATTTTCCTGGAGCAACTTTATCCTCTCCTTCTCCGTTACCTCATGGCTGACTCGAAGTTCCTCCAGGATCCTGGAGACAGAGCTGTGCAAGTCCTGGAGCTCTGCTTTTGATTTAGACAAACACACAAAGTCAGTCTTCAGCTGTTCAATATTGGAAGCAAGTTGCTTCGTCTCTGCATTGAGAATTTCCTTTTCTTTAATTATTTCCCCCAGTTTAGATTCAGATTTTTCTTTCTCCTGAGCTAAAAGTTCTTTCTCAGTCAGCAATTCTTTATTTTTCTCTCTCAGCTCTTCTATTTTCTTCTCTAAAAAGCTGATGTTACTATGAAGTTCCATACGTTCCAAAGAAAAGGATTCCTTGTCCAACTTTCTAGCTTCCTTCTCTATGACTAGGTTTTCTTTCATAATCTCAACTTCCCCACTTAATTTCTGACATTTATCTTGCAGTTCAGCCCTCTCCCTAGTCAGCATTTCCCTATCAGAGGAACAGGTCTTGAACGACGATGACAGGACCTGCTTAGCATGAGATATGGCAGACAGTTCATTTTCGAGGGACATTTTGGCATCCTGAGCCTCTTTCAGGAGGTCAGAAAGGTCACATTTACAGGTTATTAGCTCTTGATTTTCTAGAGTCTTCTTTTCCAGTTCTTCCTTGAGGGCTTCAATGGACTCTTGCAGTGTGGTATTCTCTTGGACCAGAACTCTCCTGGCCGAGACGTCCAGCTCATGCTTCCTCTTCATATCAGAGATTGCATTTGCAGAAGACTCACATTCAGCAAGAAGCATGGAGTACTTGCTCTCCAATTCATTCTTTTCTTGAAGAAGAGCTTCATTCTGTTTCTCAAACTGCAATGACTTACAAAAAACAGATTCCTTTTCTACGCTCAGTTCATTGAGTTTCTCAGTAAGGACTCTCTCAGCAAGTGCAGCCTCTGCAGTGGCCTCACCAAGTTTTTCAGTAATTGCCTTATTTTCATTTAAAAGTTCTTCCCTTTCAGCCAAAAGCCTTCGTTCGGAGGAAGAAAGCGCCTCCTTTTCTTGAAGTAACTGAATACGTTCAGAGTCAGATATCTCCCTTGAGGCCTTAATTTCCTCAAGAAGCTGAGAGAGGCTATCCAGGGAAGTCTTCAGCTCCACATTGTCTTTTAGTACCTTTTTAAGTTCTTTATGCTCTGCCTCTAGCTCTGTTTGCAGCTCTTCTGTTCTCACATTTAAAGCCTGGTTTTCACTGGCACCAGTGGCTAAGCTCACCTGCAGCTCTTCTATGCTTTTAAGGAGCTCTTCCTTCTCGGAACGCAGACTCTGGCTTGTTTGCAGCACTTGGTCCATTTCATTTTTTAAGGCTGTATGTGCACTTTCCAGATCCAAACACTTGCCTAGGGCTGAATCTCTCTCTGCAGTCAGAGCTGACACTTCTTGCAGCAGCTCTCTCTGATCTCTGGCAAGGTCCTCATAAGAGCTTTTCAGCTTCTGAATGACACCATCTTTGTCTTTAACAATTGCATCATTCTCTGCTAAAAGTTTCTTCTGATAATCCTCCAGTTCTCTCTGTTCCCTGATGTGCTTCTGACACGCCATATCCACTGCATCTTTGCTGGCCTGAAGTTCTTTCAACTGTTGGAGCAAGGCTGACTCCGCAGACCGGAGAACATCATTTTCTCGAGTTATCTTCACAAGACGTTTCTGTGCTGCCTCTATCTCAGAGAGCAATTTGTTTTTCTCAGAAACTAGTGCCATCTTTTCTGTGCTATTCTGCTGGCTTCTAGCATCAGCTTCTTCCTTTTCCTTTAGGATTTTTTTATTTTCCAAATTAAGTTCTTCATTTACTGTCCAAAGCTTTTCTTGGTCTTGTTGCAAAAACATAATCTTGGATTCCAGCTCTAGAAGTTTTGTTACCAATGAACCTTTTTCTAATTTTAAAGTATTCCTTTCCTGTGCCAGAGTGTCTCTTTCTGATACCAAACCCCTCATGTTGTCTGACATTAGTTCAATCTCTTTTCTGGCTGATGCTAACACAGCAGTTAAGGACTAAAGAAAAAGTTGGGGAGAAGGGAAAACAAAAATGAAGTCAAGCAGGCAAATGAGAAATGTAGATTATGGGCAAACAGAGCTACTAAAAGCTTTCTTTAAAAAAAAAAAATAAAAAGAAAAAGAAAAAAAAAGTGTATATGCTGACACACAGTTCCTGGGCAATCTGACTTAATGATTGTCACCAATGATATTTCATTTCAAAATGCCATTCAACTGCAAGAAAACTTTCCAAAAATTTAAACGAAAAGAGATCACTCTTGAATGCGCCTCCATACAAGACACTTCAGCTGGTTTATAAAACTGCTACCAATACCTCAAAGTTACTCAGAAAGAAGAGCCACAATTCAATCTGTGTGAATTATAAAGCAGGGAGTTAATAACATACTGACTGCCAATTCTCAGTCACTTTAACTAATTCTCCTCAAGATTCTGTCAAAGACACATTGCTGTAAAATATTCAATTCAAAAGGCTGCATCAGGAATGCATTTAAAATTAACGTGTGTGTCAATTTATACACTAATGCTTTTGCTAAAGCATAAAAAATATAGCAAATAATGAGGGATGAAAGCAAGCCTTGATGTTCAAAAGAAATGGAAGAAAAACATGACAAATATTGAAGCTACATACAAAACAGTTGCAAATAACATGGGATCACACGACAGAGGAAAATTTTAGGTGTGTAACACTTCTAAATGAAAATTTCATACCACATTTTATTTATAATTAATGTATTTAAACACCAACAATGAAATATAGCTCCAAATGATTGTGTTGAATCCAATATCTACGAACATAAAGTGTTAACTTCAAAGAACTGTATCTCAGAGATGTTTTAATGCAACATGGAGAAGACCGCGTTAATCTTCAACCACTGTTGATGTTCTCTGGAAAAGTTCACAAAATAAAAACTGCAAAAAACTTAAAACAAAAGAATGAAACCAGACAAAAAGGAGTGACTCATTGAAACAGAAAGAATTAAACTTGAAATTATTTGCAGAGTAACAAAGTATACATACTTTGGCCAGTTCTGCTTGTTTCTTCAGCTCCACAGCCTGTGTTTCCAAGTCGTTATTTTTCTTTTGTGCAATCTTCAGCGTCTCCTCTGCATCCAGCAAGTTTTGCTCAAGTCCTTTGATATCTGCCTGGTGTTTAGTGATCATCTCAGAAGTTTCTTTTTCGTACTTGGCCTCAAGATCCTTATACTGATTTTGGCTAGTCTCTATTTGCTTTTTCTGACACAACATAAAACAATTAGAATATAATTAGAGATGTATCATTACAGTATTCTTCACTTAGCTATTTTGGAGTTCTTCTTACCAAGTCTATTAGTTGATCCTGCATTTTCTTCAGTTCTGCTTGATGAATCTTGAGAGTTTCTTGCTGACTCTGCTCAGCTCTCTGTGTTGTCTGCTCCACATTTTCCTGAAGCTCAACAGCCTTTTCATTTGCTTTTGTAAGCTCAAGTTGTATTTGTTCCAACTGTCTAAAAAGACCAAGAAATAACATTACTTTTTGCCGATAGCATGACAAATGCAGATGAAAGACACTTTAAAATTATGCTGAAGTTCTATAATCTGTCAAAACATTAAAAGAGAGGTTTAATTATTTAGCATAAAGAGAATGTTCTGCTAAATTAAATACATACAAATGAGACAAAGCGTTCGCAGAGCAGCACTGCTGCCACAGTTACTTTGTCTCCACAGTTCAGGGTTTTGTAAAGCTAAAAAACAGCTTTTTTACAGATTGCTTTTATTTGAAACAAAACACATTCTCCTTACAAGTCAAGAAAGAGAACCATGACTTTTCCATATCAGAATTAAACAAGCTGATCGGGTAATCAAGTAATTAGTAAGCATAATCAAGAAACAGTCCAGATTATTAAAATTTTCAATTACTCTAGACAGTAAAAAGCATGTGTTCCATAAATTTTAGAATTCTAAAAATAAGTGTCTCCAAATCATTTTGAGGAGGCTATTTTGATTATTTTGATAGAAGTTCATTGTCATAACAATGTGACACTCAGGAACATCTTGTTCAGCTATTTACAAAAGGATAAAATGAGAAGAGCGGAGTATAAGAGTACATAATTGTGAAAGTAAGGAGTGAAGGAGGAGTGAAAGTGTTCTAACAGTGGTGAAATACCTTTCTTTTAAGCGCAGCTCATCATTCATTTTTGTAAGTTGGGCAGAGCTGTCTCCTGAAGACTTCATGATCTCTGCAATATCATTTTCAAGTTTGACTTTAGCTTCAGTCAGTTGTTGCTCTCTTTCTTCTCTCTCCTTCAATTTCTTCTCCAAAACTGAGGAAGTCAAAGGTTAGTAGTATAGTAAATTTAAGAGAAATAGCATGCACAAAATAGCTAGATGACTGCAAAGGATTATAAAGAGCATAATCTTGATGCTAAAAGTCTTGCAAATTCAATCTCTAAAATTAAAAATCACAATCAGTTTTGGACTTGGCATTGTGAGCTGTAGGATATGTGAAGAACTCTTAGGACACACCAGAAAAGCAACTAGTCAAGACTTCTTTCTTTCAGAAATTATTCAATAAGCTTTAGGTTGTAGGCCATAAAAAGCTGACACACGTTGAGAAGTTGACAACCAAACAAGTTTAGAATCTTTTTGATGTCCTTCAAAATAAATCTCAATTTATGTACAACACTGCTGTGAATTAAACCATCTTAAAAACTTGCAATACTTCAGTTCCAAGCCTTCCTCTAGCACTGGGCCATTATCACAACATGATTTTGTTGCTATGTGAAAGCAATAATTCAGCCAGTATGTTCATTAAGATACTTTCTGCCTAGAAAGGAGGATTTTTTTGGAAGTAAAATGTATGTATTTGTGAAAGCGTTAAGAACTCCAACATGGTGAGCTGAGTAGAAGGCCACATAAAAGCACAAAGCTGATGCATATTTCAAAACATTCCATTTTATTACTTCCTTACCTGTCATACTAGACCTCAGCTGTTCCAGTTCTGAAGACATGAGTGCAAACTGCTCTTCTTTTTGGCTTAGTTTTTTTATTGTTTCTAAGGAAGCAAAATTTTGAAGATGAAGTTAGTAATTAGAGTCAAACTGCTCCTTGGCAAGGCATATTACTCTCAAAAAGAGGCTGCAGGTAATCCTCTTCCTAGTTGCTGAAAAAATACTGAAGTTTTGCTATGTGTAAATCTAAAAGCACACAAAAAAACTTTTGCAGTATTTATTTTCTGTACTTTTTTAGTTCTTTCTTTACTTTAGCAAGAGACATACCTTGCATAGTTTTTTGAACATTTTCTGCTTCATCAGCTGCATTTGTAAACTTGTCCTTCTGAAAACAGATAAAAACCTAAGGTAAGGTTTGGCAGTGACAGCCAGTATAACTGTACCACTCCATTTGCATTAAGTGCTTTTCATGCACAAAATAGATCTATCTTCACTCCTAACAGAAAAGATTTCAAGGTCTTGAATTACAGTTTAGCACAGATATATTCGGCAACATATAGCAAACATTTTTTTTCCCCCTGTCTGGATTGAAAGCAAGTCTCTGAACTTTCATTTGGAACAGGGTTTCAGGGCCTCTCAATTTAAGAAGCTATCCACACTGTTCAAAGGCAGTCGTGGGCATCTGCAGCCCTGTGATCAATCTCATAGCAGTATTTTCCAGCCTTACCAGCAGGAAGAGGTGGTGTTAGACTGTAAAGAAAAGGTGGGATACTGAAGATGATAAGTAAGACTCATCAATCAACTTCAAACAGTTACTCTGGCTGTGGAAAATATTAGGACATGAACATTAAAACTTAAGTAGTAACACTTTGTTTCTAACTCTGGTGTAATTTCACAGGAGAATCCTATCCAACTGCAATTGCAAACAACTAAATTTGCAAAAAGAGAAACATGAAACCCCATTTGCAACTCATGCCTAATGCAAGCCTTAATTCATATAACAGATCCTAAAGGTCTCCACATGTTCCTTTACAAGTGGACTAATTTTATGCTGCATGCTGCTCTTGATCTGGCTTAATGTTTTATTTGATATCTGTAACAGCCGAGTCCTGTTTGGGCAAAACACCTGATAACCAAGGTAACTGTAACACTATTCTCATTCTGAAACTGGATCCTACTAGTAATGAGACCTTCCATTTCCTTCTTGAATCAAAGAAATGTGTTAGGAAGAGCCTAACGGAATGGTGAATGTGTGACCGGTCTTCAGATTTCTATTATACTCTTACCATGAAAAGCAAAATCCAAAAGATAAAGTCAAAATTTTTAAGTATTACTCACCAAAATGTGAAGCTCTTTTTCCAAAGAATCCTTAACTTGATTTACTGCACTCAAGTTTTTCTCAAGGTCTAGAAGTTTTTGATCTTTGCCCTGCAGTTCTTTGGCCAGATTACTAGCCTAACAAAGATGATTAAATGGAGTAAAATAAAATTACAAACATGAATGGAAAAATAGGGAAATCAAAAGTTGAATCTGAAGGAAATAACTACAATGTTAAAACTACAGTAAGATGGAAAAAAAAAAACAACAAAAACTGACAGAAAAAAACATGATGGGTTAATTGAAAGATGTTGATCTCCATTGATGGCTACATCACAGCATTTCTTCTGGAATATGTTTGAAATAATAGGTAAAATTTAGAGAATTTTATTTAATGGCAGATATTTTGAAGTATTTCCAAGTGTAATTATGATATTAGTTGGTTAATATTATAGGTACTTTAATGTTCTGATTTTTTTGTTTTTCAACTGATACATTTAGCATTTACGCATCAACTGGCTACATATATAGATGTTATTTTTCTGCATCACCCACAGGTGGTGCAGAAACTCATCATGAATTCTAAAAACTGGGCCAGAGGTCCATGAAAATCTAGTACTTTGGCACCATCTGCGAACAGTTTAGGAAAGCTACTTCCAATTACCTTCTCAATGCTTCTAGCTGCTCATGACCTGT